GATGCTGCACCCAGGAGTTGTTTACTCTGGCTCAAACTGCTCCAGAGTTTATTGCTTTGAATTAATTGCATGTGTAGATGGATCCTATGTGTTAGTTCTGCCACCTGTACAATACTGAAACTGCTCTGAAGGCCACAGATAAAAAGTGCTTTTGTAATGGAAGGAAGCCTAACGGCCCAGTATGCTGGTGTGGGTAAGACACATAAAAGGTTGATGTGACCATCATCACATCTGGCCACATTTGACCCTGCAGCTTGAATGATCATCAGGGATCCTAGTTTTCTCTGTTTAAAAATTACAAATTCTCTGATTAAAAATCCGTGTTTTTCAGTGATTAAAATGAAACACCACTATATATACAGGTATCAGTTGAACACAATGTTTTATTGATATATTTACAATGTTAAATCAATTTGGAAGCCTACCAGTGCTTATAATAAAATACATTCTAAATACCTATATATTTTGGCATTTGATTGGGGGGGGGGGGGTTGTCATAGAAAAGCAGAGCTCATCCTGCCCCTTTTGCTCACCAGGATGTAGTTCCAGATGCAGCTTTGTGGTGCTGAGCAGCCCTGATATGTTGGTGCCCTGCCCCTGCCTTGCCATTGCCCCTCAATCCTGACCCACAGCCCCTCCAGCCCTGTCAGTGCCCCTCACTCCCGACCCACAGCCCCCTCAGCCCTGCTTGGCACATGCCCCCCAGATTTATGTCCCCACCGTGGCACACATCACTACAGCCAGGCCGGACCAGCTCCAGGCACTGCCACCTCCGGAGTCCAGTGGGTGGGACCCGGTACAAGAGGGAGTGCCACACTGTGCCACCATGGCCACCCAGGTGAGGTGCCCTCTGCCCACCTGGCAGCAGTAAGGGCACAATTCCATGCCACCGCTGCTGCACCTCACCTTGGTGGCCATGGCAGCACAGCACTCCCTCCCATACCAGGTCCTGCATGCTGGGCGTGAAGGCAGCTCCTGCCCAGAGCTGGTCCGGCTTGGCTGCAACCCCATGCTCTGCTGTGGGCACAGAAATCTGGGGGGACATGTGCCTCCCTGCTGTGTTACCTTGGGACCCCATCCCTCCAACATGTTGCCTGTGCCCCCACACATGCAGGTAGCACCCCCTACCCCCTGTGTCCCGCTTCCCCTAACTCCAAGCAGTCCCTTGCAGGCTAGAACTCTGCCAGCCTGCAAGGGGAAACCCATGGTTTCCTGGCTTTTCTCCTTTAAAGGGAAACATATGTGATTTCCCCCTTTAAAGTGGAAATTCATCATTTTCTCCTTTAAATGAGAAATTCCTCATTTTTTTCTGTTAAAGGGAAAAATGCATGATTTTCCGTAGCAAACAGAAAATTTGGATCCCTAATGATTAGGTACCCATTTGCAGCTGGATCAACTGTCAGCAGCCTTTGGCATGAGTCTAGAAGAGGTCTTGAACTCAGTCCCTTAGAGCTATAGAAAGATGAGTTAATAGCTCTGCCAGCATACCCCTGTTTTCTAACAGCTAAGGATTATTATCAAAGCTTCATGTATTGCTGGGCTCTGGCATCCTGCTCTGCTAATGAACCTCAGCTATAGAGGGATCCATTCTAAACATTTCAGTCACTCGGGCTTTCTAATCTTTTTCTTCCTAATCAAGAAGGATGCCCTGTGATCAAGCTAAACCTGAATTCTTCCCCTCACGGAGTAGCTCAACTAAGTCACTCTAATGGGACTAAACTAATGCACAATTTAAAAATAAATTAAAAATAATTTTTGCTGCTTATGATATAAGGTCCTTACGGCAGGAAATCACCAGGCCAGACACACCGACTGCCAGTGGACTTGTGGGCTGCCATTCTTGAAGTCACAGACATATATTTCAGACTAAATGCGTCTGATCTCAGATGCTCAGAAGTTTCAGGTCCCACTGGTACTTGGATGGGACACCACCTCAGAATCCTGGGTACAGGATATTTTTTGGAGAATCAAGCTATCA